TCATACATGTCTGCATATAGAAGTGGTAAAATGTGTAATGTATACTTGGCACAAGTTATTACAATTATCCACATCCTAAAAGATAGTTAAAATGGAGAGTTAAAATGACCAAAATTATTACAGTTATCCAAATCCTAAAAGAGAATTGAAATAAAGTAGTTATTAAAGTTATCAAAACATGTTAAACACTTAAATCCAATATCAATGGTACTGAATTATATTTCATATACTATTAGCAATATGATCACGTAATTGATCCATTGATCGCGACTCAGACTGCGGCACATTAACCTGAACATCATCATTCTCATCTTCAAATATTTCATCTATCTGTGCCTCCATAGTTTGATCATTAAAGATTTCATCATCTATCTGCGCCTCCATTTTTATAAAGTTGTGAAGTGTACAACAAGCTAAAATAATATTTTAAATGATAGGTTTAATTTAATTGAGATTAATTATTTTTATTTTATTTAAAATGATTTATTTTATTTAATTAGGTGTTTTGATTAATTGTCTTATTTTAATTAAATTATATTTTGTATTTTACTTGTTATTTTGCTTTGCAGAATGCTGTGATTGAGTTATTTGTTTGACTTTGTGTATATTTATGCTTGTGTGATTTAATTGTAAAATATTTGTAATTAATATATTTTATTTATTTAAAGGTTAAGGAATTGAGTTTAAGGAAGTTGGACCAATGGATGTGGTCTAGGGCTTGGATTAAGCCTTGTTGAGTTAATTAATAAGAGATATGGTTATGAATATATTTTAATGATTATTTTTGCATAATTATATAGAGGAGTGCTATTCACAGTCGCACATCCTATTGGCTGAAAAATTAATCATAGAAGACGTAATTAATATTGTTTTTTCCTATTTTATTGGAACTATGAAATTTCAACTTATAGGACCAAATTACCCTTTTATATTTATTCTTTCTTTTCTATACTACTTGTACGTGTACACCTATATAATCTTGATTCTTTCTTTGCTTACATACCTTATTCTTTCCTCTCTTTTTTTTTCCCAGTTATTTTTAACTATTTATATATTCGGGTTTCTCACTGTTTTTCTTTCCTTCTTTTTTTTTTTTCTCAATTATTTCCTTTTCTTTGTTCACACACATATATAGTAATTTACCATATTGTAAATAAATTAGAAAACCATAATTCTCTTGTTTTACATATTAACTAAAACTTAAATTTTATAATATTATTTCGAATAAATTACATAAACCCAATAAAAAATTCATCAAGGTGAACATATAAAGTTAAAATATATGTAACAAACAAAGGAAAGAAAGAGGAAATAATATAAAAGGGTAATTTGGTAAATTACTATATATGTGTGTGAACAAAGAAAAGGAAATAATTGAAAAAATAAAAATAAAAATAAAAAAGGAAAGAAAAACAGTGAGAAACCCGAGTATATAAATAGTTAAAATCAATTGAAAAAAAGAGAAAGGAAATAATAAAGTATGTAAGCAAAGAAAAAATCAAAATTATATAGGTGTACACGTACAAATAATATAAAAAAGAAAGAATAAATATAAAAAGGTAATTTGGTCTTATAACCAATTATGAATAGACGGTCATTTGCGCTTGAACAGCACTTCTCAATTATATATGATCATAATTTCATCAATTCTGGGCTACTTTGGGTACATTCAATATTTATATATATTGATAGGCAGACAAATTAGACCGATCTCCTAAACAGAATTTAGGTGGCTTATTACGTGGCAGTCCAATTGTCAAAGTTTTGAAATCTTTTCCTCTCTCCTCTCTTTTTCTCTTCCCTCTAAATCTCAGGGAACGCCACCCAAACCCAGAAGGACAATGGTGCCCTAATATTAACAAACCCATAACACCTGATGCATCAACACTTTCTCGTCAAGCCCCGAGCGTGGCCTGCCCTCGCCGGTCTCGAAGCTGTTTTAACGGCAAGAAACAACGAGAAACGGCAAGCTGAACGTTGACATTGAACTGACCGATGAAGTGACTGAACGGCGGTGAAGAGGGCGGCAGGATTGTTCGGTGAGCAAGGAAAGATGGTTCTGGGGTCGATACTCACTTAGTGAGCTAGACCCAGAAGAGAGCTTCGATACTGGCAGCGACTACGATGATAAAGGTCTGAACGGCGAGAAGCACGGATGGACAGAACCGGGCCAACAAGAATAAAAATAACAGAATTGGCAGCGAACATGGATGAACAGAACGGCGGATGGCGGTCTGAAGGCGACGGCAAAGTGTTCGGCGGTGAAACAAGTTTGAATTTGTGGTGTCTATGGCCTGAATATGTATACATATATATTGACCAACAGTGTATGCTCCATTGACAACCCGAAAAGCTTAAGCGAAGACGAGAGAGGAAGTTCAGGCAGATCAAAACCAGAGCAGAGCAACACTGGACCTAATTGCAACTGACCCAACCGCGTAGCTCGAAGCAACTACGACTAAGCTCAATCCGACGAGCCCTCAAGCAACGGCGCGAGCTCTCAAGCCTGGCAAAACCCATATTTGTCCGGCACTCTCCATTTTAACACCGGACCGTGTTAAAATGTTGAAATGAAAAATAAAAAGTCTACAATGAATGATAGCTGTTATTGATTAGTGCAAAATTAGAAGTTCAAAGTCCATGTTTGAGTTGAATAGTAAAGAGGACTTTGTAGGCTAGATGTTGAATAAATTGTGGGTTGTACATCAGACCATTAATGATGATTTGATAGTCTTTGTGTGTGTAGAGTCCTAGTAAAGGGCACTTTGAAAATCGGAAGACAAGTCATTGTCTGAATATAGGAAGGCGGAGCTGTAGTCCATGTATATGCTGGTTGTCTGAAAATTGTAAGTGTTGTATTCCTTCTGTTTTCTTCTCTTCTCTTCTCTTCTCTGTTTCAATATTTCATCTACTGCAATTAATTCTTATCAATTAAAATCATCTTCTCTTTTCACACAATACATATAATTGGTTGAATCTCCAGCCAACAACCCATCCTTGTTTTCATAAGCTACCCAACCGGCGGCCCTCCTATGCTCCGACGACTTGTCTTTTTACCTCTCCGTTCGCTTTTCTCGGATCCACCGTTCACCACTTCTTGCCTGTTTCCCTCTCTGGTTCCACTTTACCCTTCTTTGTTTTGTACGGAAAATGGGTCTTCATCTTGTGAGAAAGAGAAAGAGACTAAGAGAGAGACCCAAATTGAACCCTCCAACCGCCGGCAACACCAACCAGATCGTTCACCACTTCTTGTTTCTTTAGAATGCGTGAGATATTAGTAAGAGAAATAGAATGAGAAAAAGAAAAAGAGGAGAGAGAGAGAGAAAAAAAAAAAAAAAAAAAAGGAGAGAGAGAAAGAGAAAGAGAGGAAAATACTCTAGTTGGACACGCAAACGTGGTTTCTACCAAACTAATCGACAAAATGTGTCGGTTAAATTATCATTTTTCATATTGATATATATATTTAAATAAAATTTCTTAAATTATATATTTTTTTAAATAAATAATTAGACAGAGAAGAATATATAGGTTCATAGAGTGTATCAATCTATGAATATATAGATTGTTAAATCTGGCTCAACTAAATTTCAAAAATAGTGCCGCTTTAATTGCACCTATGAAAGATTTCAACTATCTCCAATAAACTTTGATTTCTTAATTATAATTTTTAAAATATTATTATTTATCACATATTTTTATTTATGTCATTATCTTGGATATATTGTCATTTATGCTACTCGATTCTAGCAGATGTGACATGAAATTGATGTGGTGACGGTGATTGGGCAAGAATGCACGGCATGTGACTGTGCAAGAATGCTATTTATTTATTTATTTTCTTCTCATTCAGATTTAATACATACAAAGTATAAAATACACATTTAAGAATCATTAAATAAAACAAAAGTCTAATTAAATATTTATTTTGATACATAAAATAATAGATTTTATACACTTATCATCCGTACACCTATGAATGGCGAAAAATACATGAAGAGTTTGCTCCTCCACTCCGTCACTCATTATTCTGATCTGTTTTAAGTCCATCCCAGATTTTTATAGTCTCAAACTCATTTATCTTATGAATTTGTAATTGGATGAAGGTAATATTTACTTTGGGAAGATAAAAGTGATTTATGTGCTAATGGAAGAAAGCCGGAGAAAGTATGGTTTCATTTATTAAAAGGGAGTAAAAGAGAGGTAAGCAAAGAGGAGTGGAGTGTTGAAGGATGTTTTTGTCATTTCAATTATTTATAAATAGGAGTGGAGTGTTTGAGGTGTCTCGTGGAGCGCGAATGTTATATCATTTGGTTTATTTTATATATTAAATATAAAAAATTTGAAAATGCGGCCCAAAATTGATTTATTTGGTATTTTTTTCTAAAAATCTCTCTAATTTTATCTTTCTTTTCTTCTTCATTTTTTTAATTCTCACTTTATTAAATCAAACTCTTATTTTTCCTTCATAGTTCTCTCATATTTTATGCCTTTTATTTTCTTCTTCTTTATTTTTCTTTTCTCATCACTTTTTTTAATAAGATTTTTTTTTTCAAAAAATAATATAATATAAATACATTTTTAACAATAATTTAAACATTTTTTTTTATGTTCAACAATTTAGATTGCAAACATGTTTTTATTTTGGAATAACTCCTACCACCAAAAAAAAATAAAAATAAAAACTTATTATTTTTGCTTCATATGTTTTCATTTCCTTTTATAAAATTATTTTTGAAATATTGTTAAAGATTATATAAATTTTGATTATGTCACTACATCTCCATTTTTTGGCCGACCTCCCTTTTAAAAGGCAGGATAATATCGGTGGGCCAATTGATCTTTGGTCAGTTTTTGGCTTCTTGTTAAGTTGTGTTAGTTGAAAAAATAATATTTATTTATTATATTATTATTATTATTATTATTATTATTCGTATAACTTATCAACGTGGCATAGCGTTCGAATGTTTTATGCAATTTAACCTCCTATTTATCATCCCGAAAACAAAACGAAACCCTAGCCCAAAAAAAGTGGTGACTCTGATGGCCCTACGGCTTCTTCTCCGCAGAAATCAGTGGAACACGAAGAAAGCAGGCATCACGTTCGGTTTAACCAACCACCGTCTCTGCCATTCTCTGCCCTCCCCCACCACCACCGGTACCACCTTAGGGCCCAATGTCCATGTCCCTGAGAGAAATTTGGCAGATGATATTCGAGAAACTTTGACCAATGGTAAAATAACTCTGGAGCAACTTGTCAGACTCAACTACGCTAATCCACATATAGGAGAACCCTTGGACGTCCAGGACGCTCACAAAGATGATCGTCGGATTTTTCTCGCCCAACTCGCAGTATCCATGATCAATGACACTAGAAGAGACGATTCAGAAAGGGTGGAGTTTGTGCGGGTGGTAAGCGCCAAGTGGCTACGGGTTAATGGCAAAATTAACTGTATTACTCTAGAGGCAGCGTCAATTAATGATGATGATCGAATCACAAAGTTTTACGAGGCAAAGTTTCTCAAAAGAAGAAATTGCCTCAAGTTGATGAGTTGGCGCGAGCTCGAGTCTCCTCCTATCACCACTCAACCTTCGGGTATTTCTTCTTCCAATTTATAACCTCTGAATTGCTACAAACTTACTTATTTTTATTCTTTTTCTACTCTCTCGTATTATTAATGCTAAGGAGTAAAAAAAAATTGATTAGGTTGGGTAATTGAAACAACTACTCTGGATTCATTAATATTAAAACTGATAGGATTGTTTAGAATATATATGATTAATAATCAAATTGTGAGAGAGAATTTAGAAAGTGGTGCCAATTGGTAATAAAATAAGAGAAAGTAGACTTCAGTAGTATAAAGCAATGCATACCTGGAGATGCACTCGTGGGAGAGGAAGATTACCATGTATAGAAGATAAGAGATGAAGAGACAAATCAAAATTCACATGTAATGAAGTTATTAGAACTGATTATAAGAAATAAAAATATAACGGGGAAATAACTTGTAGTAGAAAAAAATTCGTGTTGATGACTTTGTTCTCAAGGATAAAAGTAAGGATGACGACCCTTTGACAAATTTCTTATTTTTCACGGTTTTATGTTGGTTTTGATTTGATTTTTCTTTATTTTTAAGTTCGCCCTAGTAAAATTTAGGCTCAATTTGGATAAATCAATGGATTTGAAATGAAGATTTAAAAGTTTAAACAAAAGATTAATTTATTGAAATTGGGTTTATATCATTCCATGTTATTTGAAATTCTTACATACAACTATACAAGGCTTTTAAATAATTTTGAACTTAAACATAAATAACTCTTTGCCATACTTAACAAAACCTTTTTCCCAACTACGTGGAGTCTACTGCATGAATCTTATTTTTCCATCTCATCCATCCAAAACCCCTTTGTTAAACCACATGTTAATTACCTCTGCCCACATCAACTTTGGTCTTCTCCTTCCCCTTCCCCTCGCATTACACTGAACATGAGCGGTCATTCTTCCTAATTAGCGCACTTAGTGATCTTTTTTTCACATGTCCAAATCATCTTAAACATTTATATGTATATATATATATCAAATCATTTCCAATTGGAGCTACTTCAATTATTTCGCAAATGTGCTTATTTAAAATACTATCATTTCTTGTCGTGCCGCACATATATCACGACATTCGCATTTTTGCCACACTTGCTTTATGCATATTTTATTTCTTAGCTACCCAACATCGTGTCCCATAAAGCAAAGCTGTTGTAGTAGCCGTTTATAGAATTTTCTTTTCAATATAAACTGGATAATCTGATCACTCAATATACAAGTTACACTCCCATTTAACTTATTTTGTCTTGATTCCATGATTTATCATCTCCAATTTCGTCATTATTAATAATTGAGCCTTAATAATGAAAATGTTCACTTTTGTGTACCTCCTGACCCTCAAACTTCATTACTTTCCTGTTTGTATTTGTAATTTTGTATGCTTACTAAAATTACACTCCATATATTTATGATTATTCCTACTTATCTTACCCTTTTGAGCTTCCCTCTAAACATTCAGTTCAACACTTGCCACTTACTCTTTTTCTTGTTTGAACAATGGAAACGATGTCATCAGCAAATAACATTGTAGGTACAAGAAATTCCGTTGACTATTTACAGCCAAAAAGAGCTTCATGGATCTTCACTCATACCTACAACCCATTTTCCATTTTCAAAAGAGGAAGAGTTTCTTTCCAATTCTCTCCTTGCCCCCCCCCCCCCCCCCTCCTTCTCTCGGGGGTTGGTCCTTTCATTTATTTACAAGGAAGAACCCTAACAAGGTCCCTCTTGGGCCCTGTCCTTTGGGGTACAAATCTTACTAGGGTTTGGGCCTCTATTTGGCCTAAGAACCCTCTTTACAATAATATAAATGTAACGTTCGGTCCACTTTCTCAGGTCAGTGCTATTCAAGGATATGCCTGTTAACTTTGATCGGTGTCAGACGAATAGTGTTGTCCTTCATTGCAAAGCTGTTGCATTCTCATTGGTAGGGACTTTCCCTCCGCAGTTTTCCCTCAATTTCGGTATATTTTAAATGTAGGAGAAAATTTAATTAAGGTGTGGAGATGAGCGGCTCAAATTTTATTTTGAGCAGTCAACAATTATGTTCCCTCGAAACTTGGTGCTTAGGGCTTCGTGCGTCTCGCCGTTTTAGTTTGCATCATTATTGCCATCACATCATTGTGTATGTGTGTACGTATATATATATATATATTTCTTCACATGTACTATGCAAATCTAGTCTTCGTTTTTGGTCTTGCTTGGGCTTTTTGAATAGCTTTTGGTGATCGGCGCTCCCCTCTGGTGTCTTGCTCCAATGATCTCTTTCTTCCCTTCATAAGGTTAGTCCTCCATTTCTCCTCTCTTGTTCTCAATTCCTCTTGTGTTCTTTTTTCTTCATTAGTGGGGATAGTAGCGTAGTCTCTCAAGACGATTCTAGAAAGATGGTGATTGACCTTCGGTCGCCGAGGAAGGAGTGTGAGATCCCCGGTTATGTCTCCCCCCGATTGTATCCCATGTAAAGGAAATACTAAAAGGGTTAGGGTATTAGGAGTTGACGAAATGATTTTTTCTTCCACCCAAGTAGAAACACTTAGATCCCTTTTACATTCCTTCTACCATACCGTATTAAAGAGGTTGAACCTTGCCCCTTTGTAGGTGAACCCAAATTTCTTTAGGATCAATCTCAATGCTTCTAGTTCTAAATCAGAGGTGTGACCTTGATCTTACCATCTTGGTTCGTTTTCTCTGCTATCGAGTTAATATGATTCGTTATGAAGCTCATGTTCTTGATACCCTCATCGAAAGAAACAACATCTCCTTGATAGAATGGTGCGAGGTCAAGTTTCCTCCTAAGTCGTTCACCTCCTCCTCTTCTATTAATTCTCCACAAAAGGGTAACTTTCTTTTTCCTCAGTTGTAATAATACCGTCTGTAAAGAATTCAATCTCTTGGGAAATTTTGATTTTAGTGACTAATAAAGCAACCATAAACGAATACTCACCAAATTTAGAACTTTATTGTCAATAGGCGAATCGATGTTATAATGAATTTATATTCAATTGACAAATATATCATGCTAAACCCCTCTGAACTATGTAAATGTCTTGAAAAAAACACCCTGAAGGCCTGAACTATTTTTTTCCTGTCAAAAAGCTGCCAATTCCGTTAGTTTTTCTTGTAATTTTACTATTACTATCCTTTAATCTTCACTTGGAAAAATTCTAAGTTGGTCCAAATGTGTTAGCTTTATTCACTTTTGCTTAGCTAAGCTGACCAGAGACACCAAACTACATGTGCGTACACTTTATGGAACAACTCGAAATTTCTGAAAGATTTTCTGTTTTGGTGCTGAGAAAACTGTAAAGAAAATTGAAGTTTTGAAATTTGGATTATTTTCTTAGTTGCACTTGTTCATCACGGCTGAATTTGCAATATATATATATATATATATATATATATATATATATATATTTGGTAAGTTAAAAATTTGGGCCATTTCTCGATTTGTGCGTGTCATCCTTGTGCAGGGGCCATTCAATCTTCTCTGTACGTATATAGGTTTCAAGTTGAAGAAGATTGAAGGTTCTGTATGATTGCTTAGTAAATTGGAACTATCAATTTTGAGTTTGCATTTTTTATGTGACACTAAGAAGCAAGGTCTTGAACTCATATTGTCTTATTTGTAGACCCTAATGTAGGATTCAGAACCCGTGCATGTTGATCTAAGATTCCTCAGAGATCGTTGCTTAAGAAACTAGAAATCTATGTGATTGAATCCAAAGCATCATAGCACCACCAAAACTATGTAAATCAGAATATTCCAATAATTTTGCACTTCCAAATCGATCCCTATCAGCTTTATGTCAAAAACCACAATTAATGGATTTCTTTGTGTGATGGCGCCCTGACTCCTAAGTGTGTCTCTCATCGTCGGTACACACTAGGATTTCTATTTCAGTTTGTTTTCTCCAAATCTAGAAAACGGAAGATGAATGTGGCGAAGTTTCAGGTATGGCAGCCTTATAAGAAGAAGGTATATTTGAATGAGAGAAACAATAATAGGGAGAGAGAATATGGAATAGATTGTTTTCCAAAGGGTATTTGCTGTAACATATAGGGGTAAAATAGTAAAATTACAAGAAAAACTAATGGAGTTGGACGAACATCCAGTTTAAGGGTGTAGTTTGGTAGCTTTTGAAAAGTTGAGGGGTATCTTTTGAGATATTTTGATAGTTCAGAAGGGTTTAGTGCATTTTTGCCAATCTATCCTCATTCATTATGTTTGCCAGTGTTTTCTGCCTTTTGTCTGTTATCTTCTACTGCCTTTCTTCCTATGGCTATTCTCATTGTTTCTTAATTTCTCAGCATGGATCGAAGCTAAAGCAGTGGGATTGTCTTTCTTATGAGGGTTGGCGCAAAATTATTATTATTTTTTTTGGTGGAAATGACTTGACTTCATAACAGCACCCTTGTTTCCACTAGCAATTATGTATCACTGTTGGCTCATATACATGTGTGTACAAGGACTTGTAATAAACTACATCATCCAATACAAATCCATCCTACCAAATAAAATTAAGCACCCCTCTTTCTCTCTCCAGAATAACACTTCCTCTCTCTCTCTCTCTTCTCTCTCTCGCCTTCTCCAGAATTTTCGACTCTCTGAGCAAGCGGTGATATACAATTGCAGGTGAAACAAAGGTAGATTCAACACGTGATCAGCCCCACCCTAGATTTGTCAAATAATTTGTACAATTCCCTTAATTTTTTTCTTCTTTCTTTATTTTTAAAATTTTGGTTTTGTATGTGTTGTTAATTGTGGTACGAAAATGCACATCAACTGTATTTTCTAAAGAAATGACACGATGATCTAAGCATGAGAATTGGGCAGCATTGATTTGAGTTTGTGCAAATGATTAATGGATATAATCTAATATACCATTTAGGGGTTCAACAATTTATGGGAATTTTCATAATGTGTAAGGGTAGGCTTGTCTAATTATAAAATAATTCAATATAAGAAGGGCATTCTACTAAATAACTATCAACACTTGTAAATTTGGTGACTATTCATCTATTTATTTTTACTTTATGGTTACTTTTTTTTTTTTTGACAAGTTTTACTTTATGGTTACTTTAGAGCAACTAAAGTCTCATTGTTTTGTAAAAGCAGATTTAGGAAATGATGCGACTTAATTTTGCCCAAACCTCATTGGGTTTTATGATTACCCTGTTTCTGTATCTCCAACATATTGTAACATTACATGGATAAGAATGAACATCTGTCTAAATATATTTGATATTGGGTTTTCAGTGTATTTTAGGGTAGGCTTGTCTAATTATAAAATAATTCAATATAAGAAGGCATTCTACTGAATAAATATCAAATGGTCACTTGTAAATTTGGTGACTATTCATCTTTTTTTTTTTACTTTATGGTTACTTCAGAGCAACTAAAGTCAATTTTTTTCATAAAATGATTTTGTTGACTTTTTTTTTTTGAATTTTCAAATTATTTATTGTTTTTTGTATGTAATATTGATCTGTTTGATCCCCTCTGTCTAATAACCTTTTGTTTGTATTAAAATAAAAAGGTTCTTAGCTTCTAAAATATGAGTAGTGACAGAGAAATTGAAACAAAGACCTGAAAGAGTTACCGAATGTGACATGACTTGTCCACGTCAGACTATTTAAATAAACATTTCTCTATGCAATAAAACTCTGAAAATAAATAAATAAATAAATCTTGGAGAGAATATACAGACTCTTGTCGTGGAAAGCACAGACTCTCTCTCTCACATACACAGTGCTTCACTTCCCTTCTTTACTGCAAAACTTGGAGAGAGAAAAACAGGGATGAAAGAGACTGGAGAGATAAACAGGGAATCAAAGTGCCTACACTTAAACTCTCAAATCGATTATTTTTGGGTCTCATCTCACACACATATATAGTATGTATAAGTATAAAGCTCTTGACCCAATTTCTGTATTTTTTGTGAACACAATGCCTTACAAGAAATTGACTATTTCAGGTTTTATCTCTTATATACATATGTGTGTTCTGTGTGTGAAATTTATCTGACCCAAGAAGAAAAAGAAACCAAGATACGCTTTACACTTTAAGATCCAAAAACCCATCAAAAGGACGAGTCCACGAAGATCAAGAAATCCCTTCGATCATGGTGATGGGGTCGCCATGGTAGCGCCCTCAGGGGATCAATGTCCGGTCCGGTGTATATTACTGAAAGCCGGAGTGGGTCAGCCAAGCCCCGCCAGACCACCAATCGGCCGTCATTGGAGTCGCTTACCGGAACCCAGACGCAGACGTAAATGTGGCAGGTGGAGTTACCGTACTTGAGCTGTCCATGGATTTGATCTGATTTTTCCTGATTTTTATTCTCTCACGCATAGAGAGGATGCTGAAAGATTCTGATGTGGCTAGGCCACGTCAAATTTGGTGCCAACTTTTCGGTTCCTTTATCAATATTCCTAGAATATACAAGGCTTTATAATATTCAATTCTTTGATACAAAATTTAGGAAAATTGACTCCTCATTAGGTCAATGACATTGGCAGAAGAAAACAAAAAAGTGGTCAAGAAAGACAGTAAATCAAGATGATTAAAGTGGTCATTTATCGACAGAGATAGATCAAGTTGTTGATTGTCACGCTTGTACCTTCCTTTTCATCTTTTCAGGTAAAGATTGAGCTGGAGTCTGGTAAATAGAACAGATGCTGCCAATATGTTAATAAAATAGCGATGTGGTGTATTGCTGCTACGTTTCACTTTACTTTAATGGAGTGACTATGTTATGTTTGTGTGAAGGGTTTGTTCACTTTATTGCAGTGATTATATTTGTTATAATTATTTTTTGAGAGCAAAGTTTTGCCATTATATGCTGAGGCAGTATCAACATTTCTGAGATGCTTTTTAAGTTCTATTACTTCAACAAATATCTTCTTGTGTTTTCTTGACATTGCAGTCATAATAGTGCATTCCTCCTCACTGTCAGCTGGTTCAAATAATTATGTTTAGGTTTCTACACGTGTCAAATGTGTTTTTTTTTTTTTTTTATGTTACTTCTGAATTCATCCTCATGCCGAATGATCGATTCCTATAAAACTCTTGCTAAGGTGAAGTAGGATCAAGTGTGCATGTAGGTGTTGGTGAGAATCAAGTGTGTTTTCTGAGATCTGGTTATACAAGTATGGTTGACAACACACCTCGTGCCTAGGTTCAAGACGAAGGCACTTCATGCTTTAGTTTCTTATTGTCTCTAGGGTTAATTACACTCACACCCCCTGAGGTTTGCTATATTGACAGCCATATGATAAATAGCTTATTTTCGAACAATGACACCCCGTCATATTTTGAAGCCAAACAGAGCCTTAAAAGAGGTGAAATGTCTACTTTACCCTTTAATATTTTATTCATATTTTGATATAAAATATCAGGACCATTAGGTGACCAGAATACCCTTCTTGGAAAAAAAAATGTAACCCATATAACCTACTTTCTTTCTCTAACCTAATCTCTTAAATCGCCACCATCACCACCCACCTCTTCACCACCTCCACCTCCATCACCGTCCACCCATTCCGTCTCCACTCATCGCCACCACTGTTCATCCTATATATGATTCACCTTGCTCCTACAAATAAAGCAAAAACGGCTTCTATTATATGTATGCATATATATATACACACACACACACACATACATATACCCACCATCACCATGGCCACTCCACCGTACCCACCTTGTATCCACCCTTACACTACCCATCATCGCCACAACCCACCGCTTCTCTCTCCTTCTCCACTAAAATCCACCCTAAATCGATGTCGCCGGCTTTGCGCAGCAACACTGCCTCTGTCCTCCTCCTTCTCGATGTCACCGGCCGATTGCGAATTTTGTTATCAATTCTAGCAGATCTTATAGTTTTCTTACTTGGGTTGATTTCGTGTTTTCTTAGAGATTGCTACTATTTTGGGAGTCGCAGAGAAATATTGCTAATCGAAAATTTTGGGTAAGTATTGGTGGCCCAAGTTGTGGCAGTACTGGTGGTGGTGGTGGAGTAATCAAGCGTATCCTATGGAATTGAAGATCACGGATGTTCGTTTGTCTCCAACTTTCAACCATTATTATTTGATTGGGTTTTGCAATTGGTGCTAAGATTATTGATTTCCCCGGCGACTCCGCCGTTGCCATCTTCGGCGTTCATATGTAGTATGTTCCGGGCGGTGGGTGGGTGATTTTGTTTTGGATCTTCTTTCTATATCTATTATATATTTAAGTATCATTTTCTTTGTGTAGTTATATATAACTATATAATGCAATTGTATGTATTATATGTATATATAATAGTTGATCTGTATACCCCCGTATGCCACTCATCATCATTATACATATGGCATTTAATTGTTATTATTTTTGAATCAATGGGCTTTGGATTTTGCAGAGATGATGATGTTGAAGGTTGGTGATAAGAGTATTTCTGTGGCTAAATAAGTTAGTCTTGAGATTTAATTACAGGCAATAGTTTGATATGTTTTACCTCTCTCTCTCTTTCTCACACACACACGGCTATATAGAGAGAGGGAGTATAGGTTTGACTTTTTCTGCTAACCTCGCATTGTTCACCTTCCAAGCACACACACACTGTTATAGAGAGAGAAAGAGAGTATAGAGGGTTAGTTTTGTCCATTAAAATAATTAGGAAGGTTAAAATGGTAATTTTATTATTCAAATGGGTCAATTTAAAAGTCAAAGGGTAATAGGGTCAATTTACCTTGTATAATAGTTGATAGGGGTGTTATTGTTAACTTTATCGAATTTAAGGGGGTGTCATCGTTCAAAAATGAGTCAACTTATATATGGCTGTCATTATGTTAAACTTCAGGGGGTGTCGTTGTAATTAACCTTGTTTCTAACTATTCAAACAGCTCTATTGCTGTATTTTCAGCTTACTGGTGGTTGTAATTTTGTTAGGGTACTTGTGTTTTTTATGGCTATTTTACTTCTTCTATTACTTACTGCTGGTTTTTAGAGAACTGTCTTATGTTGCTTCTTCTATTGCTTACAACTGGTTGTTAGTTTCTTATTGTTAATTTTGATTGGATCTCTAGTGAAGTTTGTATATCTTGGCAGTGGATAAACGACCACAGGAGCTGGCTCAGTTCCCCACTAAAAGAGAGAATGAAGAGCTTTTGGAACCAACCCATACTCCTCCCTCAATGGATTCCGGTAAAAGTGAATGGTGTGGCTCATGATTTTGATCACACCAGAGAAATCTGTCTTTGAAGTTTGAGGAGAGAATAGAATCTGATCAACCTTTTTTCTCCAGGGTCAACTCTTTTGTAGAAAGAAGTCAAGCTAAAGTTTCCAAGCGTAGGCAGGAAGAAGGCCTTATCACGTAGCTGAGCCTCAAGCACGACCGATTGATTCATTTTGAAGGCTGCCAGTTCCCGATTCATGAGTGTTTCTGTCTGCACAGCTCATTTCTCTAAACTATAGGTTCAACTTAGTAAAAAAGATCCTTGCTCTAAACTATAGGTTCGACTTTCTAAAAAAAATCCTTGCGAGTCACAGTTCTCGATTTTGGAATGGAGGGAGTAATTTTTTTTCGATCTTAATGATTAGAATCATCAATTCAACAATCAGAATATGGAGTTTTTGTTTATTCCTCTAAATTGGAGAGAGACTTGTGCTGGCTTGTTTGAATTATATGTGCATGTAATGTATATTACTTTGGTAAGTCTTTGATGTAAGGATCTTTACCTTAGCTAAACACAATATTGTTCGTTTTTGGTTTTTCCGGACCAAAGATTTTTTAAGGAGTTACCCATTCTGATATTACTCCAGATTAAGCACGCAATATTGTTTACTTTTGACTCTCCTGGACTAGACTTCTTAGAAGGTTACCCATTCTGGTACTATTTCAAATTAAGCGTGCTTAAATTCGGAGTTCTAGTATGTTTATGGTCAACACGGCTTTAAAACGCGTTGTGTTATAAAATGGTGTTGAATATACAAATAGTCTTTGCCCCATCCACACACAGGAGATGTGGGATTGTGCACTTGTACCTCACTCAATGTGATAGCTTACTGGTGTCACCTGCACACGCTTACCACCTATCAACAAGGTCGCCACAATTAAAGAGTGAATTTATTTTCAAAGTTTGGTATTAACAGGAAGTCCAAATGCGAGCCAAAGGATTTTGAAAAAACTAACTGATTTATAGATTTATTGAAATAAATAATATTATAAAAAAAAACATAAAATGGATTTAAAAAATAAAAAAATGATGTAAATAATAATATTAATAGATAGATGTAGATAAAGAATTATACATATATAGAAAGAGAAGGATTCAGAATTTGCACGTCAAGTGATGATAATACAATATATTTTTGTCAAAAATTTAAATAAAATGGTACTCCGTATGATATAAAAAGGTAGGTACAGTTTGGATATTGGGCTGTAGAACAAAAGCAGGCTGACGAAGCCCAGTTTGGAGAAATACACTGCAGTGATAAACACACTTTGACATTGGTCTAGCCCATACAAATTGTAGTCCAAAAATAGGCTCAAAAGCCATTCAAAAAGTAACACCGTTTGTGTGTGCGCGTGCGTGTCATCGTCCTTCATTAAAACCGATCAAATCTCAAAACCCTAGCAATCAGGCGCCTTTGCATCTTCCTTACTCATGGCCGGCCTCCTCCGTTGTCTTCGTCTTGGCGGTAGAAACATATGCAATACGAAGAAATTAGGCTTCGTGGGCTCACATCGTCCTATTCTTTCTTGGTCTTTTTTCACCACCACCACCGGAACCACCACCCTTCCGGCGGAGGAGGGAAGGCTCGACGAGCATCATCATATTGGAGGCGTTTTGGGAAATTTAGGTGCTGCCGCGTCGGAGAAGCAGCGAGACGCTAGCAAAAGTACTCGCGTCGATGGCCTGGCCCAATTTGCAGCGTTCGCCATCGGTCAAGCGCACAATCTGAATATTTATTTTGAAAGAGTGGTCAGCGCCAAGGTTCAACTGCTCGATAATGGCCGATTATACTCTATTACGATGGAGGCATTGGATAGTGGGAGCAAAAAGTTCTTTGAAGTTCATGTTGTTGATACCATCATCGAAAGCAACAGTCTCTTCTTGAAAGAATGGTGCGAGCTCAAGTCTCCTCCTCCTGGTTGGACTCCTGCTTGGACTTTATGGAGATAGGGTAACTTTCCTTTTCCTTTTGTTTGTGTTAAAAAAACAAAAAAATGTTGTTAGCTTCTAGAACATACTTGTCTTTATAACATTCAAGTCCTTGATACAAAATTTAGGAAATTGACGACTCATTATGATGACCACTAAAATTAATATTCCACATTAGTTTAGGGAGATATCCGCTATATGGTTATGGGAACTATAATTCTAATCACATAGATGTGGATTGGGGCATACAAACATATATATATATATATATATATATATATATATATATATATATATAGTTTTCTACAAAAACAATATAGTTATACTAATCAACTCTCAATCTTAAGAAGTGATGTTGTACCAATTTACATAAATCTTCATGTCTTAGCAATATGTAGAACTTAATCTAATTAAAAAATAATGAAGACACTATACATGTACATGGGTCTGTATAATATACCGTTTGTGGATTTATATGTGAAACGTGTTAAATAACTCATGATTACAGGAGGCAAGATAACACTGCTCTATAATGCCTTTGAATTGAATTCCAGTCCATTTTTGTGCTACCTCCTCCCCCATGTCATAGAACCCCAGCTCCACAAATTTCTCATGCCCAAGTGTATCTCTTATTCTTTCTCGCTCTTCCATGACATGCTGTCGAATGCATCTGACAGCGCCGGCATCCAGGCAGCTACAATCTGTTCTGCCATCTCCAGCCCCCATTAAACCACCATGAGCATGTAATTTTAAGTCCAGAAATGGAATAACACAACCCCCATTAAGTCCTTTCCATAGTCATCATCAACTATGTGATCAGAAACCAAAGAATGTTTCTTGGTTACCTTCAAGTCCCATACCTTTACTCTGACCTAATGTCTTTAATCTAATTAAAAAATAATGACGACACTATACATGCAAATATATGTACATGGTTCTGTAAAAATACCGTGTGTAGATTTATATGTGAAAAATGTTAAATAACTCATGATTACATGGGGTAAGATAAGGCGGCCCATTCAGTGCAGGACTTTGTCGGAATCTTGCTCTCCATGACATGCTGTTGTATGCATCTGACAGAGCCCGCATCCAAGCAGCTACAATGTGTTCTAAACCACCACAAGCATGTACTTTTAAGTCCAGAAATGGAATAAATAAGCCCCCATTCAGTCCTTCCCATAGTCATTGTCAATTATATGATCAGAAACCAAAGAATATTTCTTGGTTACCTGCAAGTCCCATACGGGAAGCTCAGCTTGATGATTTGGTCCAAGAGGAACTTGTTACAATCCAAGAGAGACGAATGTATATCCGTACACTGAACTAATGTCTTAGCAATATGTATAACTTAATCTAATTAAAAAATAATGAAGACACTATACATGCAAATATATGTAGATGGGTCTGTATAATATACCGTACGTGGATTTATATGTGAAACATGTTAGATAACTCACGATGATTACATGTTGGTTTTGAATTCAGATTGTAAATAGAATTTAAGCTTATATATATAAATGTATATGTATATATTGCTTACAAACCCTGGGTTGGAATCATGTGGAAAATCGAATTTTGATTTGTTGAATGGGTTGGTACGTGGAGAAGGCGCGCGACGGACTAGAGACATTTAGTTTATGCTATTGTTATTTTAATTTTAGTATGGGTAATCATGTAGTGAGGATAGCCATGTTACAGAGATGAAGTTATGTTAGTTGAGTGACACATTTCATATTGGTGGTCCTGTGTTTAAATTTTGGGGTGCGACAGACACTGGTCGAAGAAAAAAAAAAAAAAGGGTAGTCAAGAAAGACAGTAAATCAAGATGATTAAATTGGTCATTTATAAACATAGATAGACTAAGAAGAAGTTGATTGTCTCACTTGTACCTTCCTTTTTATCTTTTCAGGTAAAAATTGAGCTAGAGTCGGGTAAAGCAAAACAGCTGCTGCCGCTCAGATGGTAATTAATAGCAATATGATGTTTTGCTTAACTTTATTTTAGTGAACTGACTGTGTTATGTGGTATGTGTAGGGTTTGGTCTAGTTAGGAAAAGAAGGAAAAATAGCAGGGTGGTTTTATTATGGACTCTGTTGCTCAAATTGTTGAATTGTTGATGATTTTGTTGTGGTTATCTAATTATTGATATATTTTGCCTCATATTGGTTTCGAGACAAAGTTTCCCCAATATATGCTGTGGGAGTATCTAACATTTGTTATTACTTCAACAAATATCATCTTGTGTTTTCTTGACATTGCAGTCATAACCAATAATATGATAATAGTAATTTTTGTATAATGGGGGATCTTGAGGGTAAATGGCACATTCCTTTTATAATTGAAAATTGAGAAATTATTATGTACGTACGGAGTATAAGGTTTCTTTTTGTGACAAATACTATTACAGAACACTCTTTTCCAAGTGTGTAAGTTGAAGAAAGGTATGACAGTCGGAGAATTGAACAGGATGATGCCTTTAAGGATGCAAATGAGTGATGACAGCACCATTTCTGGATTGAATAAGGAGATCCGAATTCGTAGTGATGCACGCTCAGGAATTAGAACAGTTTAATCACTCCATCAACTACTTTGCAAATGGGCGACTCTTTGCTCCATAATTGTACTAGTATCGAACCTTTTTAATCATAATTCAACCCAAACTTAGGAACCAGTACTTGAAGCCATGCAAAAATGGCTTCTTTTAATCAAGAAGGAGAAGCTAATATCAGCCAATTCCGAACCAGGAGCCAAGTGGTGCTGGCGATATGGTTGCCATGCCGGAGCCGATGGAAGCACCTCCACAAGGTGATCCCAATCAAGAATTAGTTGTTGATGAAACTTTGGGCCTGATTTAAACCAGCAACAAGTTGGTCCTGTTGAAAATCTGCCACACTCCACTGATAATAAACATGAAGTTCAACCCATCTTGGTCTCATTTGCAAACCAAGAAGATGGTGCAGGTGGGTATTTGTTGTCGGTGCCTGGTCAGCAAAATAAGCCCCAACAACACTAGAAGTAGGTGGTGATCATCATCAGGAATGAGAGCAAGAGCTTGATATAGAATGGGATCCTATACTGGAAGCCATGCAAAAATGGTGCTTTTAGTAAAGAAGGAGAAGTTAATAACGTTGAGCCAATTCCGAACCAACCACCACATATCTGACACCAATTGGCTCCTGGTTCGGAATTGGCTCAAGGATATTAGCCTCTCCTTCTTTATTAAAAGCACTATTTTTGAATGGCCTCAAGTATGGGATCCCCTTCTATATCAACCCCTTGCTCTCATTCGTGATGATCACCACCACCTACTTCCGGTGTTGCTGGGCTTGATTTTGCTGATCGGGCGGCAATACCCACCTGCACCATCTTCTTGGTTTGCAAATGGGTGGTATCCATATGAATATATATTGAAGCAGGTAAGGGGCATTTTTGTCTTAAAAAAAAGCTAACCAAACCCGTCTTATTTGAAATAGATAGAATTTTGATTCTGTCATTCCCTCAGTAATTGTGGGTGACTAGGTGGGGCATACACGTTATTTAAAATTGATTGACTTTTAATTCCGTCCTCCCGCTCAAGGTTGCACACGCGGCACCAACTTTTACTTCCATCACCCCGCTCAGGATTGCACACGCGTAATATAAAATGGATAGACTTTTAATTCCAAGGGCTGTGACATGCGATATTTAAATTAGACGGAATTAATTTTGTCACTCCCCCGTTAATTGTGTATAAGTGGGACACATGCATTATTTGAAAAGATAGACTTTCAATTCCGTCACCCCCTTATTAATTGTGCATGGATGGCTGGGTGGGGCATTTGCGTTATTTAAAATATACTAAACTCCATTACTTACTGCGCTCCTTAATTATGGGTAGTTGGGGGAGATGGTTGCAGGGGTCATTTAAAATGGATAGACTTTTGAATATGTTATCTCCCTCGTTAATTATGTGTATGGGATTCCATCACCCCCTCATTAATTTTTGTGTAGGTGGGGCACATGTATTATTTAAAATAGATAGATTTTTAATTGTGTCACCCTCTCATTAATTGTGTGTAGGAGGGGTACACGTTATTTAAAATAGACTAACTTTTAATTCCATTACCCCGCTCCCTAATTATGGGTGAGCGGGGGAGAGGGTTGCACACGGTCTATTTAAAATGGATATACTTTTGATTCCATTATCCCCTTATTAATTATGTGCGTGGGGCATCGATGCTTCCACATATTATAGCTAACGTAGGAGATATCTCTATTTTTCCCCTGGAGAATCCTTAGATTTACCACTACTTAACTTTAAATTCGCCTTTGACCATCAAATGAAACAAGGGGTGCTTCCAGTTCTGTCGTTGTTTAAAACAATTTTGTCTTCTCCATGTTAGTATATCTCTAGAGTCAGTGGACACACATGTTATTTAGCATAGACAAACTTTTGATTCCATCTACTCTACATTAATTGTGTGTAGGTGGGGCACACGTGCTATTTAAAATATACAGACTTCTGATTCTATTATCCCCTCATTAATTGTGGATGGGTGAGTTGGGGCACACGTTATTTAAAATAGACAAACTTTTGATTACATCACCCCTTCAAAAAAATTTCAAAAGGGGGGTTTATAGCAAATCCATACAAGTGAAGGGTTTTTTATTTTATTTTATTTTATTTTTTTTGCAATTCGACTTGTAAGATTTATTAATTTTCTTAATTTTGTATTAAGAATTGCATATTGTGGAGAACAAAGCACAAAAATATAATAATTATCATTATATTAAGACGTTTAGGGTTTGGAGTGGGATAACGAGAGACATTAAAAATTGTAGGAATGAGAACGAGAGCTAGGGTTTAGGGGCTAAAACTTGTAACCTCTTAATTTTTGCATAGTAAAATCTTCCGCTGGATCTTCACCGTGGACATAGGTAAATTTTTTACCGAACCACGTAAATCTTTGTATTCTTGGTGTGATGTGTTTAGTAGTCTGTCGTGATTTATCTTTGGTTGTCGGTGTTTGTCATAATAAACTGGTATCAAAGCTTTAGGTTCAAAGTTGGGATGACGACCAAGTTTCTGACACAAACAATTTTAACCTGTGGTGGGTTAGGATGCGTTAGTTCAACATGGGTTATCCAAAGCGCTAAAGGTGAATGATGCACTGGCAAAAAAGATTAAGGACAAATATGAGGTTTTAGAGAAAACACAGTGCAATTATTTTATGCTCAACGGAGTAATGCAAGAAGTTTCTGCCCAAGATGGGTTGTGAAACAAGTTGGAGGCTCGAAATATGATGAAATATCTTGTGAACTGCATATATCTAAAGAAGCGGTTCTTTACTCGTTCGTCTATGAAAGATTATCTTGACAGTTGATAAGGTAAACAATATCATCATGTACTTGAATAATATTTGATACGGGGAATTTAGACTAATGGGAAGTTCAATGGACAAAGGAGTCAAAAGGAAGATAAGGATAACAACTTAATACTATATCTCTTTGTATCTCTCTTAGAATACAACTACTAAATACTCTCTTATAAATGGGAAGTCGGGACACATCAAAAGGTATGCCAAAATTCAATACAAAGTCCTTGTTTGATATAAATAGGTCTAAGTATTAACTTGACAGTTAAAGAGTACCTGACAGGTGTAACGACCCAAAATTAGGGGTAATCACAAAACATGATTCGGAAACCGTCTGAATAAATTATCAACAATCATCTGATATGAAATCCATAGTCCAGTCATAGTCCCAAATTTACTTAAATAACCTCAAACACACTTCCGTTGCGCTACTCCAATAATTACCCACTTAAACATATCATTAACAACTTCAAAAGAAAATCTACGATGCAATTACTTAAAAATTTGTAGAAAATTCATTTTAAAACAAAACGGAGCAAACGAAAATGATTTGAAAACTAGATTCAAAGTGAAACACAGCTGAGCAACTCACGAAGGCTAAAGATTTTCCAATTAAATCAGATTTGAGAAGTAAATCAGCAGCACTTAGTTCAAAGAAAATCTGGGTAGCGGATACTTCAGAAATTTTAGAAAATTCGTTTGACCTTCAAATTGGGCGAAGTAAATTTATTTTGACAATAAACTTATGAAAGAATAAATGTGGAAGTTTTGATAAAGATCCGGTGTCAAGAAGTTGGTGAAAGAATTTATTTAAAATCTGATTTCCAGCAGATGTAAAATCTGGATAGCAGACAATCTCAAATTTTTATAAAAATATCTGCTAATCTAAAAATTATGAAATTGTATGAAGAAGTACTAGATGCATAGAGGAAGCTGTGGTAAAAATTTGAAAGCATTTGGATCAATACAGCTCATTAGATAAATTTTTGAATTTCAGCAAAATTGAAAGAAAAGTGAATTTCCTGCAACAAAACAATTTCTGATTCCCCATCATCAATTTCATCATTCAAACCCACAAGGAACATCAGCAAGAAGTCTCTAGATATCCATTGGGTAATTTAGATACATGGATAACCACATGAAATCCTTAATTTACATTAATTCCCAAACTTACAATAGATAGTCTCCAAGAAAACAAAATCAACAGCTCCAACACTTTCAAGGGTCATGAGAACCTACAAAATAACGGGGTGAGACTAAGAGATTTTAGCACAAGAAAGCCATTAAGAGCATGCTTGGAAATTTAAGGAAATATATCCCACATCAAATAAGCAAAAGTGAATCAAGCAACTAGTTCAACAGATTAATCACAAGGAACTCAGCAAGGTAAATTAGAATCAAGAGGGTTATCAAGGGATTGGTTGTGCACATGGAATTTCCAAAATTAAGAACAGATTCATGGCAACAAGAGATGGTGTAGGAAGCCAAATCACATAAAGCAGCAAGAGTTAGAGTAAAACCTACCTCAATTGAAATTATGATGATAATGAAGATGAAGAACAACCCCTTTCCTCTTCTTTCTTTCCTTTCCTTCATTTTCTACCTTCATTCATCTTTCTCTTCCTCTCTGTAACTCTCGGCCAGCTCTCCTTCTTTTTCCCTCTTGTCCCAATCTCAGCCCTCTCTTTCTCAAGATCGTATAAGATACATTGGGAATGCACTAGTACTAGTGCTAAGGTGGGTATGGTGTATAGCAAAATACATGAATGAGTCATGGACAAGCGGTGCATGAAAGGGACATGTGTCCTAAGACTTTGTAGGAAAATGCCACCTAAAGTCCACTAACTAAGTTCTATAAAAACACCAAAACCTCCACCACTAATTAATTTATTACACAAGGA